GATTTGTTAACCGTTTTGCAAAAAACAAAATTGCCCAAAATTGTTCGGCCCAAAAAATTAGCCGATTTGTTCGTCCCAAAAAGTTCTGGCAACACTGTTAAAATAAAATAAAAAATAAATAAAAAACTAGAGTCAAATACTCTTTGAAATAAAAAAAAAAATCGAAAAATTTCATAAGAGATTTTTATTAATTTTACTTTGTTATTAAATGCAAGCAATTTGCTGTAGTACAACTTTAATTTACCACAATTGGATAATAGCGAAAAATAATTTCATCAGACAGCGCTCTTTCACCTGCCGTTTCGCTCGCTCAACTCTCTCTCCCTCAACCTACTACGTGCTGCTAATTTAAATTTGTTGTACCTGGATGTAATTAAGTTTTGCATGCTTACAGACATGAATTCAACGTCGATAGAGCAAAAGTTAACTTCCTTGTCAGCATCAAGTCAGCGCAAGACGTCGTTAGAGTCAATGAGTTGACGAAGCAGCTGGCGCGCATGCGAAGGTGCTGACACTTGGCTCGAAGTTCATGGCGTGCATTATTTTTTTCACTGTTCAATCTTTTGTACATTGTATGTTGTGGTTGGCGTTGTTTGTTGTTGTTGTCATTGTCGTTGTCGTTGTTTTTAGTAAACAATCTCTATTTGATAAATTTCGCATGTTTATTTTAATTACAATTTAATTGTGGTAAAGTTTTTTTAATATACTACGATTACTACAAAAATTACGGAAGATGAGCAAAACAAATACTTGCATCCAAACAGGAGGCTCCCAGCACTCGAGATGCACATCTTTGGGTTTATAGATGTTGATTTTTTTATTTTCTCTTTTATGTAAAATATACACTCACGCAGCTATGTTGTTATCAATGCGATGACACTGTCCCTCATCTCGTCGTTCTGTGACCTTTGTTGGCTTGTCAAAAAGTTCAAGTTTAATTAACGCAGTTCAAAGTCACTGACGCCAACATCGCCGCCTCTCCATTATTGCAGAATCACAAAGAACGTAATGGTAGTTAAGTATTGAATGTGAAGCACACATGTATTCGTATGTAAATATATGTAAATACATATATACATGCAATGCTCAGTAATTGGCTGTAATTATAGCATATAATTATGCAGCAGTCATTCAAATGGTCAATGACAGCTGCTGACTGTGTGTGCCCTCTAAAAAGATATGTGTGGTATGCGGTAGTTTTTATTTTTTTACTAAGAAAATTGAATGGAAAATTTGTTTAGATGCATCTTCTGCTAACACTGTTTTGAAAGTCGACATATACGAAATATGCGAATCCGTAAGTATAAATTTTCATCAGCTCCAGATTTTGAGAAAAAGTAGGTAAAATTGTTAAAAAGTCGCGTTTTTTGCAAAATATCGGAGAAGCTCTAGCAAAGAAAGAAAATGCGATAGAACCTTTCACTTAGGCTTAAAGTAAACCCAGAACTCTCGAGATACCATCCCGGCATCTTGACCTGATGGTCACTTATAGTCATTTATTGAACAATAAAAAAAATCAGTGTTTGCGGTACAATAAATGGCTATAAGTATGGTATTTATATGAATTATAGTCGAAAGTTAGTTAGTTAGTTTAATGTAAGCCTAAGTGGAAGGTTCTATCACTTTTGGTTTCTCTGCCAGAGCTTCTAAAATATTGCAAAAAACGCGATTTTTAGGCGTTTGTTTATCATCAGGAAAGGACTTTTATTTCGGACTAAAAAAATTGTTGGCCAAATTTACCTGTTAAAAAATAACTGTTATTTTCGGTCCCTGTAAGAACCCGTTTGCAGCGGTGGATGTTGTTCTCATTGGACTAGCAATTCCCATGTTGGCAAATCGTTCGTGTATACACAAATAATTCCTCTTTAGTTAATACAAATATTTCAAAAAGAAGAATTTGGATATTTTTTTGGGTTTTTTTTTTCCTTTTATACTACAACAGTTTTATTGAAGAGTTTAAGCTCCTCCAAATGCATACATATCAAATGACGATTCATTGTAAAATTAAGAAGTTGGAGTAAATTTAATTGGCAACGCTGTAAACTCATACATTGAAACAGTAATTAATGTGAGCGTTTAATCGTTAAATTTCATCTTCATTTGACCTGACTGAGAAGATACTTACATATATGTACATATGTACATTTTTTTATCTCCAATCACCTTGTAACAATTTTTCTAAAATAAAATATGCATATCTTTATAGTTTAAGCAAGAATACATATTGAAGTATGTATGTACATTAGGGTGCATCACAATCAATACAGAAAAAAAACTGTACTGCTTTTCTATCGGAATTATAAAACTTATTAAGTATATTTTAGGACTTCAGCCAAATTATCCCGGAAAAACATTGAGATGTCCGTGAGCTGGACCGATTTAAGAGTAGAGCTGGGTAATTTATGATTACGATTACATTTAATTACGTAATCCTAAAATTATTTTAATTGTAATCATAAAGGTTATCATTTCGATAATAATTGTAATCTTAAAAATTTACGATTACAGTAGTTGTAATCGCTAAATTTTAAGGATTACAATTAAAGTATTCGCAATCAAGCATGTTGAATTTATAGTAATTTTGATGCTGAAAATTCTCGTGATTACGATTACAGTAATAGTAAGCCTAAGTAGTCAAAATTTAATCGTAATCCTAAAGTGCCCAGCTCTGTTTGAAAGTACCTGCCAAAATCTAGTTTTTTTATAAATAAGTAAATGTAGTTTTCGATATTTTTTTCCAAAACATCTCCTCGGACGATAGAAAAGTTTAAGCTTAAAAGGTCTGCATAAATATGTTTAAACATTTTATCAACGGATACAAAATAATGAGAATTTTGGATGTATTTTCAAATCGGTCCAGCTCTCGTAAATTTTAATACTTTGCAGAAATTTGTTTGGTGGAAGTCTTAAAATAAAACAACCGTTTTAATTTCGATGAGAAACCACACCTTTTTTGTGAGGCACCCTAATGTCAAGCTTATACATATATGCGTAAATTTATGTATATTTGCACAAAAACAAACATGTTTATTTATACAAACAAAAACACAGCATATGTATGTATGTATATATTTGCTTCAACCATTTTCTGCTTTAGTTAATGACTTTTACTAAGAATTCATTTAAATTCATTTATGGCAAAGTGGCTTTTAAAAGATAAATTCAGTTTGAGTGGTAGCTCTTCACCAACGTTCCTTCACAACAGCGCAGCTATTTGATAGGCTACTAATAGTTTTGTCAAACGCATGACTCGTTTTCGAGTGGCTAGTACAAATTCCAAACGAAGTAGTAAGAGCTTGTGTGCATAGTTGTGCTATTGAGCGCCTTATCAAGAGAATTTAAATATACATTAGACTGGTTCAAAGCAAAAATTTACTATTTCAAAATCTCTTGTGTAATATTTTTACGACACTGAAAAGAGATGGCTGTCAAAAGGGCAGCTATTGCTCGGTTATGAAGTTAATTGCCTAAAAAAAGGAGGAATTTCAACCACTTGTGCTTCCATTTCCGACAGGGTATATTTTTTTAAATAAAGTTAAATTAAATAATAATTAATAAAATTTTTTAGCAATGTTATTGAATTTTATACCAATATTTGTTTGTTAGAAAAAAATGGAAAGTGCAGCAAAAAAGTTATAGCTGCTATTTCAGAGGTACCACATCTCCTCAACAGGCTCCTTTTTCCAGCTCAATAAGGTCAATATGTGGGTGACGTATAATTGTGATACACGCTATCTTACGCTTTACGATTCAAAAATTGGTAAATGATATTTTTTCAAATAAAATTTTAAATTTTATGATATATGGAAAATATAAGAAACGGTAATTTTTGTATGTGCTCGACTTGAATCTTGAGCAACTTGACAATTGAAAATAAAAATTGTTCCCGTGTTATTTATATGGAAACTAGAAATTCGCTATAAGCCACCTCTAAATCCTATTAATGCGGACTGCGCTTTGGCAGGCGCATTTTTCACTATCCGGCATTTTTTTTTTTGAACCAGTCTAATGTACATATGCCTGTATGAAATTTTCGAAAAAGTAATGAATAAAACTCACTTTTTAATTGCTCTCTTGCTATCGATATTTGCTCAATGTTGCGTGTCATGCGACAGAACTGGAATCTTGTTCGATCTACATATGTACATTAGTAGCAACAGGAAATTACTGATAAACGAGTGCATGCGTACGTAATTACTAAATATAACTGATTACAATCGATACACACGCAAACATCGCTACAGATCGTCCGTCGCCTGGGTAAAAGATTGTCGTAAGTGTCATACGCACGTGCTTAACATACGACAATCTTTTACCCAGGCGACGAGATGGCTCGAACGAAATTAGATAAGAGTGTGTGACACAACAATTCATAAGGTTTGTAGTGCTCTTTTCAGGTTCATTCCACGATAATTGGCACCAGATGTGATAATGATAATGCTATTTTTAAAAAATTATAATTTTCATATACTTACAGCAGGTTTCACTAGCGATTTAAATGGAAAATTATTTTTATTTTCTGTCAATTTGCATATAAAAATTAAAAAACCTCAAATAATTTTTCACTTAAATTGCTTTCGTGAAATTCGCTGTTATGCATCAAACTTTCAGGATTAGGAGCCAAAATTTGTAAACTGTTTTTACTGAAATAAACTGTCCAATGATAAAGGTGTCCTAAGAAGGCAAGAGGCAGGCTGCCTCCTACCAGGTCGAAGTTCCATCCTTAACAGGGACAAGGTACGGTGCGAGGTAGATTTCTTTGAACCATTCAGGTGCTGATGGTATAATTCCAGCACTCATTCAGATA